TGCCGAGCCTTAATAACGACGGGAGCTTGTCGGTGGCGATTTCTCTGCAGGCAGAGCATATGAAGGTTTTCGAGAAGCTGCTCTATGACATTTGATGTGTATGTATATATACATATGTAGTATGTTCGGACAAGTTTTGTGTCGGAAAAAAACTTAAGCCTGTTAAAGAATTTGGGATATGCCTAAACTCTGTTTTCATCCTGTTTTTCTTACCAGGGTTTTAGCTAATAATTAACAATTTATAAGCAAATTTTTATCTAATATGATGTAGCTTTCTCTACCTTGGCAACATTTCAAATCCAATTATTGAAAGTATTTTGGTCTTATTTCAAAATTTGTCAATGCTTGTTTTGTTACTCGCAACTCTTTCAAAATTTTTAAAATATCTGTGGTTTAAGGTTTTAGTCAAGGTTTCAGTTCCTATATTGATTACATTAATAAATCTTTGTTGGTTTTAGAAAAAGATATGTAGTACGATTTAGACTCCGTTTGGCTAAACTTATTTGAAATAGTAGTTAAACTCTTACTAAGCTGTTTTAAGATCTGATAAGGAATTACGTCTTATTTTTAGAATTAATTTTTAAAGTGTTTGAATAACAAGTTTAAAACTATGTGCGGTATACCGTATAAGTAATTAAGTACTTTATAAAAAAAAAATCTTAAAAGCTCTTTAGAAGCTCATTTTTTCAAAAAATAAGATTTTTTATTTTAAATTTACCAAACATTTGAAAAATAAAACTTATAAACTCTTAAACATCTTATAAACTATTTTTAACAATTTATTAACCTAGCCAAACATCCTCTTAAGTATTCTCCCAACTAATTCTTTTATTGATTGCTACTTGTACTTGTGAGGGTTACTATTTTAGTAGCATTTCAGAATAATAAGGGCAAATAAAGAAAAAAAATAATGAATTAATTCAATATTGGTATTTTAAAATGAGAAAAGAAAAACTCAAAAGATAATTTGAAACCAAAGAAGAAATGAAGTACTAGATAGTGCAAAATTGATGCAATTTTCAGTACCACACGTTTATCAAATCCATAAAAAAATTCAAAACCCAAACACGCAACAAAAACATAATAATACAAAAGAAGGAAAAATAAATTAATAAAAATAATAATAATAATACAAAGCAGAAGAACTAAGCAAGAAGCAGAGAGAAGCTGAAACCAACAACAGTGAAGAAACAAGGCGCATACAAAACTGCAGCACTTTTCTGGCCGGGCCGGCGGTGAGCTATGTTTGCGCCGCCGTAGGAACCTTTACCCTGTCCCTTTTCCGACGTCGTAATCTTCTCCGGCGCCGTAACTTCTCTTCCACCACCAGAACCTACATTCACATTAGAAGCAAAACTGATTTAAAAACAAAACAACATTTAAAAAATGGAAATTAAATTAAAATTTCTATCACCATGCTCATAATATAGATCTGAAACCGAAACCGAAACCGAAACCGATACTTCCTTCGACGGTATTAAGAATGACGTATAACTTGCATATAACTTGGGATGCTCTAGAGTAACCTGCAGCATGCAGCTGCGTGCCGTCTCCGGCAACCTTGAGGGTCTC